AGTCAATTACAATGTGTCTGTCTCTAGTGGATAGCACAATGTCCCCAGTCATGCATATACATACATGTATTGGTTTTCCTATTTTTTTCTATTAAAGATTATTACAAAATATTGAACATAGTTCCCCGTGCTGTACAAAAGAAACTTAAAAAAATAACTATTAATTTCGTCTTTAATCTCATCAAGCTCTTCACCTTTCATGGAAAAGTACAATCCCAAGTTCCCATACCTTGCTTTTTCCTTTTTCCATGACACTTACTACCTTCTAACATGATAAAAAGTTACTTGTGTATTATGTTCATTGGTTTTTATCAATCTTCGCTGTGAGTACTGTGAAGGTTGAATTTCCTACCTAGTATATATTGAGTACTCATTATTTGATAAAAGATGGAGTCAAGTTAAAAAGGATCTAACAGCTTCTGTTTGTTTTATAGTAATTTATATATATATCTATAATTATTTGAGGCAACTTATATTAAAATACAAATATAAACTTTTTAAGGTAAAAGAAGATTGGTCACTCCAATTTTTTTTTTTTAAATATAAGTAAGACAAGACTAACCAAGCTTGGTCAACATTAGTATTATAGTTGGATAAACTTCAAGAGTTATAATGACAACTTAATGCTAAATGAAGTTGAGACTAATAAAAATTTAATTTATGTCTTTAACTGAGAAGCCAAGAAATTCTGTTTTTGGCTGCCCAGTTATCTGTATTGAACCAAGAAATGGAGCAGCAAGTCTCTCAGTGGCTTAGGTGGACCGTTGCCAGTCAGAGCTGGTTTTAAGTCTGTAGCCCAGAGGCACATGGTGAGCAGAGGAGCTCCTGCCCCAAAAGGCAGTTGGGACAGGTGTTGGCATGGCAGAGGGTGTGGGGTTCATGAGAGACACTCTGTTTCTAGCCCCTTTCACCCAGTCTCCCAGCTTCGACTTCTGAGCAGGCCTCCTCTTAACTGTTCTTTTTCAGGTATTCAAACCAAGAGATAGCAATGTTCAGAGTCAGAATAAGTCCAGAAGGGAAAAGTGATTACATTAAACTCTGATTAAAGTGCCAGTCTCAAGAATGGAGAGATGCAACAATTAAAAATAATTTCTTGGCTTCTTGGTTAAAGACATAAATTTTTATTAGTCCCAATTTCATTTAGTATTAAGTTGTCATTATAAGTTAATTTTTCTCTGTTTCTCTAATACACAGTTTCTCTGAATCAATCAAGGTTCTTTTTTGTTTTCTGTGGATAAGTGTTGGTACAACTGTTAGCAGTCTGAGTCTTGTAAAACGGTTCATTGTTGAATGCCTAAAATATTCAGAGTTATAAGATTGTTTAGCTATACCCAGACATCTGAATAATTTGTATGTACCTTAGTAAACATTACAGATCTGGCTTGTTAGAGAATCATATGAAATTAGTGAGGTCAGTTGTCATCTGTGTGCAAGGAAGCTCATTAATTTTCTTCTCTGATATTAATCAGACTCAGCCACCTTGTACTTACTTATTCCAGATATGCTTTGAAATGGGGCTGGATTTTTAAAAGGGCTGAAACGTTGGAAATAATGACATGACAACTAATGTATAAGCCCAGGGAAAGGCTAGGATCTTTACACTAGATTTCTTTCTTGTCACTTTCCAGAATATTTTTGTTCTTAGGAAGTATTTCTAAACGTCCACGCGGAAGAGAGAAAGATAGTAAATCATCCATTTGCCTTTTTGGTTTAAAGCACTGTAACGCCTTATTTGGAGAGCTATGAATCCACCTTCAAGACTTCACAGTCATCAGTTCATTTGGCTGAGGTGTAACGTAGTATACCCATTCTTTCCATTTAGAGAGCTTATGCCCTTTGTGAGGCTACCTGTAGCAGGAAGTGGATTCATGAAGAGCCTGCTCCTGTCGGGGAGGATTTTAGCCTACACCTGATGACAGGCCATGTGGGTAGCAGCTGGCCTCAGAATTTGGGATATCAACCAAGTAGAAATCTGGGGCAAAATCATGCAGGGAACAAAGAGGTGATTATTGCCAGTCACTGGGAATTCTTACTAGTAAAGTTCTCTAAGTGAGATAGCATTCTCAAATAAGAATAAAATGCAGATTGATGAGCAGTATAGATCATTGGGGAATTTGGTTGGCAGGGAAATTATTAGGTTGAGGAATTTCAGGTTAGACCTTGAAGCCTTAGTCGTTAAAATAATTCTTTAAAATTATACGAAAGAACTGGATTAAGAGAGTGTTGTTTGGTATGAGTTCTATTTTCCTTTCAGTCTGTAGGTCAGCTTCATAGCAGAAAAAAGTGGATAACTCTTAAAGCTAACACTTTATGTCTTGCAAATCTTAGATCTTTGGTCACCTACTTCTTTCTATAGTCACTGAATAATTTCAGAAATGAGGCAATAACGTGAGCTCATTGAGCTGTCTTAAAGATCACAGACATAAAAACTTAAATGTATCTTAATTTTATATCCTTGCAGATTGATCACTTATTCATTAGTAATTTACCAGAGATTGTGGTGGAGTTACTGATGACGTTACACGAACCAGCAACGTCTGGTGCCAGCCAGAGCACTGACCCCTGTGATTTTTCAGGGTATGAGTATTTTTAACTTAGAGAATGAAATGCAATTTCAGAAGTTCCTTGGGAGGTTTATTGGTTGGCACCTTCAAATGTCTATTTCAGTTGTTAGGCGTGTACTCTGCTTTTGAATTGTTCCTTTAAAATAATTACCTTTGAATTGTAGTAATTACTTACATGCTCTACTGTAGCCTCTCCACAGTAATTCTCTTGTAATTAACCACCTTGTTTGCAGATTTAATGACCTTTTCCTTCTCAGTCTTTCTGTAATATTGAGCATTGTGCTATCTCTTGTCTCTTGAAATTTTCTTCTTCATAGCAGGTTATTCCTTGTTCTCTTCTCCTTATCTGTGACTTGCCTTCTGTATCACCTTTTCTTTATCACGCTCCTTAACTAGCAGAATCTTAGTGTACTACAATTTCATTTGAATGTGAAACCCACTTGGTTGTATATGAATGTTAGAGTTATTTTCCCAGCTTGATTGTAAGCTACTTGAAAACACCCTTTACCTTTTTATATGCTCTACAGTGCTAAGCATATAAAATAGTAATAATATCTACTAAATTACTTTTACATATATAGTTTCATTTGATACAGTGCTTGATTGCTGTGTTCTAAGAATTAGTTTGTTTATAGTGTTAGCATAAAGCTTTAATTCATACCTGAAGTGAAGTGATACTAAGTCTCACTTGTGGAATTGCTATTAACTTTATAAAGGGATTTTAAAGCAAATTATTTAAAATTGACTAAGCTCTGGTAAGTTAAGGTACTTAGATATTCTGCCTGATGCATATAGACTGTGTCAAGTCATTTGTGATTTTATTAAAAGTCTAGTTTTTGAGTAGAAGAACATTTTTAAAATTTTGGGTTATTATAATACAAATTTTCTTTCTGGATTTTCACTGGTGTAACATGAAAATGTTTTTCTTGATCCTTTTATTCTGGAAATGATGACTGTATTTTTTTCTATAACTCTTAGGGATTTGGATCCTGCTCCTAATCCACCTCATTTTCCATCACATGTGATTAAAGCAACGTTTGCCTATATCAGTAATTGCCATAAAACAAAGCTTAAAAGCATTTTAGAAATTCTTTCCAAAAGTCCTGTAAGTATGTATTCCTAGCATAATAACTGAAGAGAGATGTCCTTCTTTTTCAGCTTGAAAATCTGTATAAGTGCATCTTAAAGAAAAAAAAGTAAACAAATGGAAAATTCATCTGAATAAATTAAGAAAAACACTCATTTGCAAGTTTATATCTTGGTATTTTACTTA